CTCAATCTTTTGTGAAGAGGGAGATAATAAGTCTATAAATCAATATACAGGGTCTTCTGTGATTACTAGTCTAAATTGCTCAGGTAGTTTTATTCTTTTTTATGACAGAAATAGAACATTGGGACTGTAGTCAAGTGTTTCATTTAATCTGGAGCCATAAATAATTCAGCACATTATAACAATAGTATTCAATGGGTCATAAAAAGAGTATTTTTACTAAAAGAGTATTAATACAACTGGCTGGAAATTTTGCATCAATTTTCTTTTTTGACAGAAAATGTACTTTCTCTAAAACAAAATTTCCACAAGAAAATGCTGGTTTTGCCACATCTTTTCTATTTTGTCTTAGGAAGATACATGGATTTAACTGGATGAAAACATTTCATTTCAGACAGTTCAACATGAATGAATATTCGAGTTTTTGTAGGTACCTCATGCCCTCATTCCTGTCCTATTGGCTGAACTGCCTGGTGGGTGTTCATCATCTATAGTATACTACAATCTCTCCTCTGGCTTTACTGTCAGAGGATATTTTGGGATTCTCACGAACATAGTCTAGCACAGGAACTATGGTTCAGTCAAACTACCTAGCGCATAGAGGAGAGTGAGGGCAGGAGGCATCCAAACTGCAACTCCCAGGAGTCACTGGTGGCTGTAATTCAATATTGAACTGCATTGAAATGCAGTATTTCAGCTTAATTTGACAACCCCAAATTAAACATTTTAATGCAAGAATATTTAAATGTTTAATTTGATCAAAACACAGCATATGTCAATACTTCTGAATCAAAATTTCAAGGAACTTTTTTGGTGTTAAAATAATTGACAGGTTGATTTTTTGTTTCAGTTCAGAATGACGACAAACTCCAAAATCTCAGAACTTTTAGTATGATAGAAATTATGATTTTCAACCAGTTCTAATGATGAGCTGCTATACAAGCTGTTTCAAAGGCCCTAGTTCCTCATCTCTGTAAGTCAATCTCATCAGTATAAGTCAAGCAAAGCAGGCTGATTACATCAGGTGATAATAAGGGCCTAAATGTTTTGTACAGCATTTAAAAGTGAGTATGTTTGGAACCTATACTTACCTTTCATCACATCTAATCAGAACGACACTATCTGTACCAATTCCCAAAGCTGCGGCTCCTTTTTTCACAGAAAAGTGACTCTGAAAAAGCATATATGGTATTCTGTGTTATTTCTATTATTATTCCTTCTGCAACTCAATGCAAAAAAACCCCAAACAACAAAACTCTTTAGTCTTCCAGTGTTCTTGAGAAACAAATCTAGATAGACAATCATTCTATTCATGTAATTTGTCTCGAACAGGGGCAGGCAATTATTTTGGGCAGAGGGCCGCTTACTGAGTTTCGGCATGCCATCGAGGGCCGCATGACAGGCAGCCCAGTGCAGATAAATGTTAATTTTCTAAGTTTTTTAGGGGCCCTGTGAGCCAGATAGAATGGCCTGGCAAGCCGCATCTGGCCCCAGGGCCGCATTTTGCCCACCCCGGTCAAGAAACTCAGCTCTGTAATTTGAAACTTCAGACTAGGACACTGGAATTATTTGAAGCAATAGTAATAACTTTAATCTGATTTTATTCAGGAAATGCCTGTGTGCATCTATCACTGAATTTGACTCTGTAACTAGCTCCTAGTGGCACAGTGGTAGAGCAGTTAAAGTAATCTTATTCAGGTTCTACAGATGAGATGTCAAGCCCCACTTTGACCCTATGCAAAGGCTACCCCAACCACCCAGCTGTAAATGAATATTTGGGTACTCATGCTGGGGACCCAAAAGCATGTCATGCGATTCCAGCCACAATCCTCCCTGGTGTGCTGTTGCCTACAGAAATTGACCTGCTTTAACTCTGGTAGCTCTATGGCCCCTATCTCAGAAGAACCCTTAACTTTTTTACTTACTCCCTTAGCTTACTGGAAAATTGATTAATTTTACATGTGGCATCCCAAGTGAAGTACATCTGCTATGTGACCAATAGCCAGATAATGTCATAATACCATTCACTTTTCAACCAGTTGAGGACACGTAAAGACAGTAAGCCTGATTTTGATCTCAGGTCAGTGAAAATTAAGATTAATTCCACTGAAGTAAATGGAGTTATACCAACCTCATATCAGAATCAGGGCTAATATAAAATGCACAGGATAAAAGTGGGAGTTACATAGTGGGGAAAATAGCTTAATCTAATTATTCTGTAAGGACCTGGCCCCTAAATAAGTGGTGGTTTATAATTAAATTTAAATTCCAGTTGTTATAATATTGTATAACTGTATAATAATGTATCAAACTGTACTGCTGAGAAGTGGATTTTGATTAACCTGAACTTAACTGTAATGTGTCTGTCCTAAGCCCCATAACTTAACTACAGATCATTAAATTGTCCAAAAAGGAATAAGTGCAACTTTTGTAGTTGAAACAATTATAATACTCATGATTAAAATGATAAGATACAAATTTGAAGCATGTTTGCTATTCACTGAAAAGCAGGCTGGGTTAGCAATTAGAAAACTGTTTGAATGGCGGGATAGTTAATCCTTTTATCCCATCTCAATCTACTTTCACTGCTGTGTTATTAGATTAAAAACAATTGTTAGATTTGTCTTGGGACAAAGCCTATTATCCTGGGACTGTACAGACATACAAGCACATTGCCCCACCTCAGGTACCTTGGAAGTATCCAAAGGTAAAAACAAATGTCGAGTTTGAATAGATCCTGACTGATCTGAGTCAAAACCTGGGAGCAGAATAGTCCTTTAGGTTAAAAACAGATGGCAGGTTTAATCCGGTGCTGTAGACTTGCATTAAAATAGGTTCCAGGTCAGACACTTACACACACAGTTTGCGCAGTATGAAAGCCAATTAACTCGAATTAGATATGATTGTTCCAAGTCTTAATTTAACAGTTCACAGGTATTTAACGTCGGACAGTGTTTGCACATCTGTAGGATCCCAGGAGAAAATGCTTTTTGCTGGGGGAGGGGTGGGAATCAACATTTTTTTTACCCCAGATAACTCTTTCTCCAGGACCCCTGTGGCTAAGTCAAGTTAATTGCCATTCATTTCAGGGACAAGCTGTGTGTATGGAGGGCTACGCTGCTCCCGGGTTTTGACTCAATCAGTCAGGACTGACAGTTTTTATCCTTAGTTGCTCTGGCTGTAAACAGATGTCTCATTTGTCCTGGGACTAATGGTCCTGAGTTTTGACTTGGATCAAAACAGTTGTTTACACATGTAGTCCTTTAAAGCTACCTTCCTGTTCTTCTGCCAGTAGGCAGCCATGGAGAGACACACCCTGAAATGCTTGCCCCTGGAATAAATGGCAATTAAGTTAAATAAACCACAGTTAGTTTACAGATACACACAGCACTTTCATGGGAAGGAGCGGGAAAGTACACATTTTATTGCACATACTTTGCAGGTACTTGAAGCAGGACAATGGGTGTGAACATCTGTAGGATCCAAAGACAAAAGCTTTTCTCCTGGGAGAAGTGCAATGTCTGTTTACAATCAAAGGGTAAAAGCAGTCCTTGGAGTTTATCCTGGGTCTGACTGTCCCAGACTTTGACTTTTATTGAAACAGGCACAGTCATTCACACAGGCAACTTGGAATTAACCCTGACTGTCTTGGGTGAAAAAGCGTTATCTTGGATACTTCACAGGTATTTAAAGGGAAACAATGGCCTCTATATCTGTAGGGTCCCAGAAAAAAAATGACTTTGTCCCAGGAGAAGTCCAACCTTTGCTTTTAGCCAAACTGACTAGGTTCTGTTGATTCAAATGTGCTAGTAGAGTCCAGGGGTTTAGGTTGTAGCCGTGTTGGTCTAAGGACATAGGCAGACAAGGTTCCTTGGGTGAATTTGATATCTTTTATTAGACCAACCCAAATAGTTGGAGAATAGTTATTAAGCAAACTTTCGGGTTCAAAAACCCTTCGTCAGGCTAAGGAAGTTTCAGCGGTTGGTGTGTGCTCTTCCTGGATGGAATGAAAAGTAAAGAAGCCAGGGGCTGGGCTGGGGAGTCAGTTGCCAGGCAGATTATAATGTATCAAAAATCCAATGTCTATGTTTAGTCCAGACAAGGTTCCTTGGGTGAATTTGATATCTTTTATTAGACCAACCCAAATAGTTGGAGAATAGTTATTAAGCAAGCTTTCGGGTTCAAAAACCCTTCATCAGGCTAAGGAGGTTTCGGCAGTTGGTGTGTGCTCTGTCTGGATGGAATGAATGTTTAGTCCATGATCTCTAGTAGAGTCCAGGCTTGTAACAATGTAGGGAGCCTTAATGAGGTGCAAAGAGAGGAACAGAAGTTGAACAGAGACTCTGAGTACCAAGAAGAAAACCAGACTTAATCTTGTGTGAAAAGCTGAGAGCAGGCTGTTCCCCTACAAATTAATAAACATGCTTCCATCATCTTAAGCAATACCTTTAATATTGAAATCAATGGGATTGTGCAGATACGTAGTACCTTTTGCATGATGTGGATAGCTTTCTGCTTCACCTGCAGCCATCTTAAGTGGCTTGTTCTGAACTGACGGAAGTTATGATATTATAGAACAGCATCTAACCCAAATTCTAGAATTCTGACAAAGCGATAAAGAACTTTTCTGTATATTGTACAGTAGCATTAGCTCAGGGATAGCATGGAAAAAAGATAAGAGGACAAACAGGTACCCCTCGGTTGCTCTGGTTAATGTTGTTTCGTTATTACATTGCTGATCTATTAGAGAACATACTTGTTTAAAGTTGTGAAATATTCGGTTATAATGTTGTTTGGTCGCTGCCTGCTGGTAGGTAACTACTGTAATGTAATTGGATTCACTTAACATTGTTTCGCTTAAAGTCACATTTTTCAAGAATGTAACTATGGTGTTAAGCAAGGAGTAGCTGTACTAAGGCATGTGGTCCATCCTTGCACCATTACAAAATAACTAAAGAGCAGAATAGAGTCAGAAAAAGAATTAACCATTATTATTACACAAAGCAATTGCTTGACCTCAGCTGTGCTGCTAAGCAGATGGATTTGGACACATTAAGAAAAGAGGTAGATGACTAGAAAATTATTTACTATTACTCCTATGATGCAGTGAAGCAAAGACACATATTAGGCATCACACTTTAGGCATGTGAAGACAATGGGACTTTAGTATATATTTAAAGTTTATATATATATATATATATATACACACACACACACTTTAGTATATATATATACTTTAGTATATATTTAAAGTTTAGGCCATACTTAAATCTTTGCAATAGGTGGTCCATTCTAAAGTAACTTAGTTTTTAAGACAGAGCTACCTCTGAGGAATACTTAGGAAGGTGAAGAAATACAGTTCCTTTTCTTTTTTGTATTCTTGTAAAAAGGTATTGAACAGAATTTTCAGATTTGTTAGAATCTAATAGAGCCATGCCATGAGTGTTTCTGCTGTTTGCCTTGAATTTGTGACCTCCGGCTTGCAACTGTGTGCTTTAGCAACCACATCACACCAGCCCCCAGAAATGATGTGTATGACTGTAACAAAAGAAAAAAGGATATAGAGAGCTGTTTAAGAACTAAAATTATTTAACATAATCTATGTAATCACAAGAGGAGTAGCAGTATCTATTATGCTTGAGGTTGCATGACGGTTTCCATTTTAAACCTCTGCCCCAACATTTTCGGAGAACAAGGAGAGTAAAATAATTATGTAAAAGAGTTTTGTGTGGTTGGGTGCTACACAGATGGGGATAGAAATTTGAAATATGGTATAAAAATAGCTGTTATTGAAAAGAAATGTTTTTGAATATTCTGGTGAAAACTAGTTTTGATTTGTCCATGTTATGAGTCCATGGAAATCACATTTTGGGCATATGACATAGAGATTGAAGGCTTTTACCTTGTTTAGGTTGTGAAATGGAGTTTGGGGAGATTACATGCTGGAGTTAACATAGATGAGTGGGGAAACAACATTTCTAAAGTTTATTATAATTATGTATTTACTCAGTTTTAGGGCTGAACTGTACAGCCTAACCGTACTTTAACAAAGCTATTACTGGACTATGGGTACATATGCTTATATAATATATTGGACAATATATTAAGGAAAATCCTATTGTCTTGAATGGTTTTTGAAACCTTTAAAATTCTTCTCAAACTCATGTGACT